TCCACTTGAGTGAGGAGTAAAGGAACTGCTTAGTGCATGCAAGAATTTTCTCCAACTTGCTGCAATAGTTTTGCTTGTGTTTTATGCTTGTTTCGCTTGTGCTTGTGGCAGCTTAAAATAGTGAGTTCAATAACTTATATGTACTATAGTATAAGCTCGTAATTTGCGAGGGTAAATTTGCAAGCATTTTATTAACTGAGGAACTAGCATAGCTACTTCTTTAAATGTACTCAGGCAAGTGCTGGATTTTGGATTGCTTACCAACCTAGTATACATATAAAAGCACAGTATACACAAATTTATAAACCTGCATAGCTGTTGCACAGCGTGAATGTTGCAATTCACAATGGCACTTCAACAATGGCTTACTACTTAAAACAATAAAAACTTATTTACTTAATTTTCAAGCGAATTATCAAGCGAACAAACTAAGAGAAAGTTTGTTTGACGGTCGGGTTGAGGAGAAATGTGCATTTCCCTGCTTTCGTTGGAGCAGTTAAGTAAAAGGATATCATTCCGTTGCTATGAATAATTTACACAAATCGGCTTGAGCGCAACCTCAGCGGCGTAACCGAATGCGTTGAAAGTTTAGGCTGAGTGTTTTGTTATGCATTTGGGATTATTTACGTGGGTTACCATGCATTTTAGTTGAGCGGAAATGCAAATACAAAAAACTTTTTCCTTTATCTTGTAGGGGCGGCATCGACGTTTATTCTTACACACATTTATAAGCACCTATATATTCTTAAAATAATGGAATATTATACAAATTGTATAATGTTAAATTATGAATGATTTTGTAAGGTGACAAGTAAAGTGGCAAAGGTAGTAAATAAAAAGTGTACAGAATATCAGAAGTAGCAATAATGCCTTCAACTAGTGAACCCGCATAGCGTTTAAATACCCAAAATTGCATTTCAATAACCAGAAAAAATATTTTAAACGTTAGTCAAAGTTTTAAGCGATCCGAGTGCAATATTTCACCAAGAACCGTGCAGCTGCTTCTGAGTGAAGGGAGACCTCGTCTAGTGTCGATTTTTAATATCATCAAATTTCCAGTCACCCTGTACCAATAAAAAAACTTCTAACTTAACGTCTTTATTTTGACCTCTTTTACTTTTAAAGTGGAAAGAATGGCGTAAATCTAATGACCTTCGCAAAAAATGCCTTCAAGTATAATATATATCGTCGATGTTTTTGCAAAACAAAGGCTTTTATGCCATAAAAAAGCTTCTCGTAAATACATACCATCTATCGTTCAGAAGTGGGAAGAGCTGTAATACCTGTAATTGTGTGATAACACTTTATGGCAAAATCAAACTTTTTTTCTTGGTATTGGACCAGATCAGTATGTTTTTTTTTTAAGAGATTGACTCATGCGTAAAGTAATACTTCCGTTTATAGAAGTCAGCCTCCGAAGTCGAGATATGGGCCTTCGAAGTTGGAAATTGGACCTTTGGTAAAAAATTATTTTTAATTATTGTATGTTACTTTTTCTGTGCAAACTTATATTACAGGTGCTATAAGGGGATAAAGGTCAGATCTTCGAAAAATTAAAAAAAGATTATGTTCCAAAAAATGTTGACAGTGTAACTGCTCATTTCCAAATTCAACCAACTTAATACTTAAAACTATGTATGATCTCCAAATATTTCTGTGTTCATAAGGAGTAATAGCTTAATTTATAAGAAAATATGGGAAGCGGGCGCAATTTCAAAAGTCTCCATCTTCTGATAAACTTAGAAGACTGCTTTATGTCGTATAAACTGTTAATGTTATGCTATGATACGTTACATTATAATGTTATTAGGCTCTTATTTATCCAAATTTTCAGGTAATAAAGAAAAATATTCAATTTATTTATGGCTTACTTTTATAAAATCACATGACGCTGTTTGCAAGTGGACCACTTAATTTGTCGAATACATTAAGAAAAATATACAAATTGTGTTTAGTGCAATTTATATAATTTTTTTACCTTCACAAATAATGACTCTATCATGAAATTTCCTAAAAAATTAAGGACATAAATACTCAATCGGTAGCATGCCCTCACTGCAGCTACTCGATTAAAAAAGAAAGTAAACACCCTCTTATCTATAGCTAAACTTCATTTGATATTCAAACGCTCGCATTTATATGTTCATTTCTATGTTAAGCGGTTTGTGTTTCGGGTGCGGATTAGTCTAAAGGCATTTGCATATTTTAATTATTTAGATTGTTTTAACAGCGCAATGCAATCCTACGCCCGCCCTCCGATTCTTACTCTCTGCTCCCTTTCAAAATCGCTTAAGCCCAACAGCGACTTTCAAACAAAAACAGCCGGAAGCACGCCAGACATTGTAACTTGCCATTTGCGTGCAGCTGGTCTTCTTTCCCACACTAAAAACATAGGAAAATGATGAACTGAAATTCAACCTAAACGTTGAAACTCAATTAAATACGCAGCTGTCTGCAGGTGCAAATTTTCCAAATTTCCAAAATAAACACAAGTGAGCGGCACTACAAAGTGCGATAAATATCAAAGCAAAAAAAAAAGAACTGAAATATCGTTAGTTATAGGAAATTGATATCCTGTTGGCGTACGTACTTATATATTTATACATACATACATGCGGAAATTGTTATACTGAAATTTTTCTTACTTTTACGAGGAAATGGTTACTGCTGGAAATTCGCTTACTTTTTTGCCTTTCAGCAGTTAATGGCAAAGGCATGTTTGTGAAGTGGCGCGTTTCCGTAATTTTTGCATGCACTCATTCCTTAGAAATGTTTCACTTTTTTACTTATACGAATGTGTGCAACAGTGGAAATTCAGCTACTTCACTTGCTTACTTTGCTTTCAATGCTCTTGCAATTGAGCTGTTTGTTGCGACTCCTCCTTTTACTGTTCATCACTTATATCAAAATGCAACGTCGTCTTTGTTTCCTTTTTTTTCGCTTTTACCTACCAGGCAGTGGAAACTTGCATATGGCTTGTCGTTGGTAAGTGTTTTTTATCGTTAGCGCATGTGAGAAAATACCATTGCCGCTGCATTCAGGGTATTCAGATTACTCATACGCACCGCCGTACCGTAATGAAGTCTGTGCTTATTTACTCTTGGCACGCTGCAATTTTTCGCCAGCCAAGTCTTTTTCATTTCTTGCGTTGCTCTACCAGTATTTCATTGGAATATGCTGCTTCATTGAATTTGCAGTGATTGCAGCGAATATAATAATATCAGTAATAATATTCGTGTTAAGTATACGCACGGTAGTCTTGTATGGGTGTTTAATATCCTAAAACTGTTCGAAGCGACCCTCATGTTGTTTCATTACACCGTGCGACAAAAACAAAAAAAAAATCAAAATACACTAAAGAATCGATAAATTCGCGAAACTATGGGCCAAATATAGTAAAACTGCGTTTTTAGTTTTTAACTCTGACGTAGTCTTTTTCAAAGAATTTTTAAATTATAAAGATATGATTAATTCAAAAGGTTATTTTAAACAAGTAAGAAAGTCTAAGTTCGGGCGGAGCCGAACATTAAATACCCGGCGCAAGTATTAAATATATGTTTTTTCACCCTTCCGAAACCTTCCGCGCATTTAGTATGCTGTACCAAGGCCAACAACGGTGCCAAGTTTGGAAGAAATTGCTGCAGCGGTTACCAAGATATACACATGTAACCATAAGTGGGCGTGGCTACGCCCATTTTCCAAAAATGTATAATATTCTTATTTTTCGTCTGAAAATTATTGTAAATATCAATTTTGAGTGAATATCTTCAATAGTTACTAAAATATCGCAGTTTTCGTATTTCTGGAAATTACCGTTATATGGGAAGTGGGCGTGGTTAAAGTCCGATTTCGCCCATTTTCAATACCAACCTACCTTGGATTAAGGGAAACCTACGTACCAAATTTCGTTGAGATATCTCAATTTTTGCTCGAGTTATCGTGTACACGGACAGACGGACAGACGGACAGACGGACGGACGGACGGACAGACAGACATGGCTTAATCGATTTCTTTTTTCATCCTGATCATTTATGTATACATTTGTCTATATCTATCTCGATTCGTTTTGGCTGTTACAAACAACCGTTATGTGAACAAAATTAATATACCCTTGTGCACAAGTGCGCTCGGGTATAAAAATCAGTGCAATGTAAAATAGCATTATGGATACAAAATAAGAGAAAATTCTGTAGAATTAATAAACATTAATTTGTTTTGGTTTGCAAGGATAGGTATTGTCTTTTTAAATTTATAAAATTTGCAGGACGAAATTCGATAATGAGGTCATTTGTATATTAGTCCTCAAACAATGTTTTTTTTAATATAGCAAATTTTCAACGCTATTTGAGGACAAAATTTGTAAAGGACATTTTCCATACCCACTCGTCGCTATTCCCCATTAAATTAATTCTGTTATAATTCTACAGATTTTTTTCTTTTATATGATACCCTTTTTGTTATTCTACTTACATTGCGCTGAATTTTTTAAATAATTGTTTGAAATAATCATATATCTTAAATTTCACTGTCCTTTAGTGAAACATTGTTTAAACATTATATGTTTAGAGTTGAATCAAATCTAAAATCGAACCCCTCTAGCTTTTGGCGTTATAATAACAATAAAAGGAAGACAAACAGCTTTCCCACTTGTTTAAATTATGACGGCATTATGTCGGATAATGAGTCAGATTCTTGTGACCCTTTTGCAAAATTTTTCCAAGGAGTTTATGAACAGTATGACCAATTAGACGTTTTTAACTTTAACGCACCCTCTTCACAATCATATAATGATTTCACTATATCAACCAATGATGTTGTACAAGCAATTTCAAGACTTCAAACTAGCCCATCCACTGATCATGAAGGTTTCTGTCCTGTATTTTTCAAACTCGTCTTCAGTTCAATAGCGAAACCCATTGCAATTTTCTTCAATAAATGCCTAAACAAATCGATCTTCTTAGATGCTTGGAAACTATGCTCAATCACGCCAATTTATAAATCAGGAAGCCGAAATGACGTACGAAACTATGGTCCAATAGTTAAACAAAGCACTATTTCGAAAATATTTGATTCCATTCTCAAAGCTAAAATGTTAAATCGTATTAACGATCATATTTGCAAGTATCAACATGTCTTTGTCCCATTAAAGGTCTACTTGTACTAATTTAGCACTACTCACAAACAGTATTATTAACGATTTTGTTGATCATGCACAACTAGATGTAGTGTACACGGATTTTTCAAAGGCATTCGATAAAGTCGACCATTTCATCCTTATCAAGAAGCTCCGCGAATGTGGTATTAAAGGAACACTTTTAAAATTCTTTTTTAACTACCTAACGGGAAGGAAATTATTTGTAAAAATGGCATCGTCCAAATCTACAATAATGATTAATGCTTGGTCTGGAATACCCCAAGGTACTAGGGCTGATGATTTCACCCGGGTAATGAGCTACCCGGGTACCC